GCATTTCCAGTTTCAGGGCTTTTTTTGTTAGGATGTCAGCCTGTATAGGTAAAATCCCACTCTACCACACACATAGTCCCAGTAATCATTGAAACAAGGTTTTCCCCAGGCACCTGAGGACCATACCTGTAATCCTACCACTCTGGAAGCTGAGATCTGAGGATTGCGGTTCAAAGCCTTTCTGGGTAGCAAAGTACATGAGACTCTTATCTCCAATTAACTACCAAAAAGCAAGAGATACAGTGCCAGCCTTGAGGGGAAAAAAAAAAGCTAAAAGGAAGAACCTAAGCCCTGAGTTCAAGGCCCAATACTGGCAAAAGAAAGAAAAAGAAGGAGAGAAGAAAAGGAAGGAAGGAAGGAAAGGAAGGAAGGAAGGAAGGAAGGAAGTTAGTTGTGCAAATTAGTCCAAATTATAGTAGTCCAAAGGTCCATCACCCTTTCTAAAAAATGCTTGACAATCATCAAGTCCATTCCCACTGTGTAAAATCCTGGGCTGGTGTGGCTGAACATCCTGACCTCTCTCCCAGCCTGGCTGTGACCAGGTTGGCGTTGGCTTTATCCATGGTTCTCTACTTCACATCAAACTTTCGCTCAGTTCGCGCTTATCTCCTCCATGTTCATATGCTTTGGCCTCCACAGTATATTGTGAGGTCTCCAGGTCTCTTGTGGCTGCCACAGCCTCCACAGACACTGTACCTATAGGCCCCTGCATACCACTTGGTCTATCAGTGGATCAGTGAATCTACCATGACCCGTGCACAGCAGCCACATCCTGGGAATGAAGTTTACTCACAGGCTGTCAGATAGATATCTCTAAGATTTCATGATTCCCTCTCCAACCTAAGAAAAAGGCATATTCCAGACACATACTAGGAATACCTAGGCACAGAGTCTGACTTGTGATTTCCATGCTACCTGCCACTATCCTTTAAGGGGGCATTCAGATTTTACCTGTGGTGCCCTGTTATTTACCTGTCCATCATGGAGTGTTCTTTATAGTATCATAGAAGATTACTTTCCACAGCACGGGCAGAATATTGAAAACCTAACCGAGCACCAGTGGCTCAGCCTGTAATCCTAGCTACACAGGAGGCTGAGATCTGAGGATCATTGTTCAAAGCCAGCCTAGGCAGGAACGTCTGTAAGAGTCTTTTTTTTTTTTTTTTTTGTCGGTCGTGGGGCTTGAACTCGGGCCTGGGCGTGGTCCCTCAGCTCTTCAACTCAAGGCGAGCGCTCTACCACTTGAGCTACAGCGCCACTAAGAGTCTTATCTCCAATAAACCACCAGAAAACCAGAAATGGCGCTGTGCCTCAAGTGGTAGAGTGCTCACCTTGAGCTAAAAAGCTTAGGGATAGCGCCTAGGCCCAGAGTTCAAGCCCCACGACCAACCAAAAAACAAACAAAAAAAAAAGGAATATTGAAAACCTGGAGGTTCAGAACTATTTTGTTCTCTGATTTCACTTTACCTTTTTTTTTTCTTTTTGCCAGTCTCTAAAGTTGAACACAGGGACTCCTGCTTGTTAGACTTGTTTTCTAGGCTGGCACTTTGCCACTTGAGTGATGCCTCCAGCCTATCTTTTTGCTTATTACCCTGAAGACAGAGTCTTGTAGACTTTTCAGCCTGGCATGGCTTTGAATCATAATCCTCAAGATTTCAGCTTCCTGAATTGCTAGGAATGATAGGGATGAGCGACCACTGCCCAGCTATACTTCATTCTCTATCTCTTCTTGTTCATCAGTGACTTAAAGAAAAAAATCCTGCCTTTGAACAACATGTAGGAATAGTAAAGGCTTGATACTGAATTTGGAATGTGATATATTTAGAACCCATCAAAGAGTGAGGGTTGGAAGTCAGGGCCTCACGCTTGCTACACAGGTAGTCTTCTACCTTAGCCATGCTCTGAGCCCTGTTTAATTTTGTTTTTCAACTAAAGTTCGACACTTTTGCCCAGGCTAGCCTTAGACCGAGATTCTCCTATCTCTAACTTCTGAGTAACTGTAATTACAAGCATAAAACACCATTCCTGGCTTGTTTTGTTGTTGTTGTTGTTGTTGTTTTGAAATAGGGTCACATTAACTTCTTGTCTAGGCTGGCTTCTGTGATCTCTAATCTCTACCTCTCAAGGATCTAGGATTACAGGCATGAACTATCATGTCTAGCTCTAAAGGTTTACACCTGTCATAGAAGAAAGAACATGAGGGCTGGGAAGTTGGCTCAGTGGTACAGTGCTTGCCTTGCATGCCTGAGACCGTGGGTTCGATTCCTCAGCACCACATAAGCAAAAAGAAAAAAGCCGGAAGTGGTGCTGTGGCTCAAGTGGTAGAGCACTAGCCTTGAGCTGAAGAGCTGAGGGACAGCGCCCAGGCCCAGAGTTCAGGCCCCATGATCGGACCAAAAAAAAAGAAGAAAGAACATGATTTTTTTTTTTTTTAATGGTGGTACCAGGATTGAGCTCAGGGCCTTTTGCTTGCTAAGCAAACACTCTACCACTTGAGCTACAGCCCCAATCTCTGAGCAGGTTCTGTTGTGGTGGTGGGGTGGTGGTGGTTATGATGGTCCTAGGACTTCAACTTGGGGGCCTGGACCTTGTGTGAGCTTTTTTGCACTAAGCAAGAGCTCTACCACTTGAGCCACAGCTCCACTTCTGCTTTTTGTTGGTTAATTCAAGATAATAGTCTCACAGATTTTCCTGCCCTGGATATAAGATGGGGCGAGGGGCGGGGGGAGGGGATTCCCACATCCTGGCCACCTGTCCCTTTGGTGCATATCAGCCAGCACAGCCTAAAGGTGTCAGACCCAGCTACGCCCTTTATGATCCAAGGATGAAGAAAGTTTACAGTTTTCAGAAAACTAAAAGGAAAACGTTCGTTCCCTTTACAGGAGTTGTTTGAAACAGAGACTCGCCAGCTGCCCAGTGGCGTGTACACAACGGCAGAGCAGCGTCCAAATGCCTACATCCCCGATGCAGAGGCCATACTTCCGCTGCCAAAACCATATGGCTCCCTGGCTCCTTTCAAGCCTAGTGAGCCTGGAGCCAACATGAGGCACATCAGAAAACCAGTTATAAAGCAAATCGAGATCTGAATATGTGAGCCAACCCCAGCTTCCAAAAGACAGGACTTCTCCAGGCTCCCTCACACCTATGGCCAGACAACGTAAGCACAACTGTGCTAAGCACTACAGATCCCTAAGGGACCACAGCCAACCACAGAGAGCCACAGCGTTCCTCTGACATGCACGACCTACATCCCACATGACATTCTGTGGGACACAGGATGCTCCCACAATTATGTCAATGCATCTGTTTCAATTGCTCATTTATTTCTTTCTAGTGATTACATTTCAGAAATATATAGTAAGCCAAGTGCTGTAACTGTAAAAAATAAATAACTTGTCAAAGAAATACAGAAACGGAGTCATCTTTGTCTATTAAAAAATAAATACTATTTCAGAAAAGTGCCCTTTAAAAGGTCAGAACAACTATCCACAACGGGAAATACCCCAAGTATCACAAAGGCAAAATTTGCTGTCCACGTGACACCTGAAGATGCTGTTAGTAAATCTAAATCATGTAAAAAGCAGTGTGAATCTGATCATCTCCCAAGCAATGTCATAACAAGACATTGTCCTTTTAATAAGAATCGATTTACTACAAAAATACGTCTGCTCTAATTTATCTTTCTTTATAATTCATATCTTTATAATATCCTTTGCCAATAAACTCATGATTATTTTAGCTCTGATATCAGATTTTTCAAAATCTCACCAAAATGAAATATTTATAAACTGGCAGTCTGGGGCTTGAACTCAAGACATAGGCGCTGTCCCTGAGCTGCTTTTGCTCAAGGCTAGCACTCTACCACGTGAGACACAATGCCACTTCTGGCTTTTTCTGTTTATGTCATATTGAGGAATTGAACCAGGGCTTCCTAGGAAAGCACTCTAATGCTAAGCCACATTCCCAGCCCCCTTCACTCAAATCTTGCTCAGAAAATAGACCAAACCTTTCAGCATTTGAGTCTTTTTTAATAACAATATTACTAACTTTATAAATATAAAAATTAAACAGTTTTATCTGAACTATCACCAAAACTATTTAAACACTATATATACCCATTATTCCTTGTTATAAATCACCCTGTACTGGAAAAGCAGGTGTGATTTAGACCAAATTCAGTCTTTTTAAAGCCTCTTTCCAAGTAGTTATTCTGCAATATTTATTTTTTTCTGCTTTTTCCATGTGATTTTCAGTGGTGCAACTAGTTCAGCTTTTCTAAACACTGTTTCATAAATGTGTGTGTGTGTGTGTGTGTGTGTGTGTGTGTGTGTGTGTGTGCAGGTACTAGGGCTTGAACTCAGGGCCTTATGCTCTTACTTGCATTTTTCCCTCAAGACTGGTGCTCTACCAGAAGCGATAGCTCCACGCCTCCTCTTCCACTTCTTTCTGGTCAATTGGAGATGAACCAATTGATTTTGGACTGGACTGGTTTGGAACTGTAGTCCTCAAATCTCAACATCCTGAGTACATAGGACTAGAAGTATGAGTTTCAGCGTCCAGTCCTGAAGTTTTAATGTCAATTTTATTTCAGAGTGCAATCAATACTAACTTTTGGCCTCTTTTTTTTTTTTTGGTCATGGACCTTGAACTCTGGGTGTGGGCATTATCTCTCAGCTCTTCAGCTCAAGGCTAGCGCTCTACCACTTGAGCCACAGTGCCAGTTTCAGCTTTTTCTGCTTATGTGGTGCTAAGGTGTTGAACCCAAGGCCTCAGGCAAGGAAGGCAAGCATCTACCACTGGGCCACCTTCCCAGACCAACTTTTGGCCTCTTAAACCACTAAAAAGAGCACTGCTTATGCCGTTGTGTGTCTTCTTATGTCGTTTGTAGTTATTTATGCTTGACTGCTTATCTCAAAATTAGAATGAGTATCAGTGTGAAACTTAGATGGCTGAGTAGTATATTCCAATGATAAATATTGCAAAAGAATTCCCAGCAGGCATAAGACCAATGAGGACTATTAAAATTGGAAGCAGATCCAATTGCATTTTTTCTTTTATAAACCTAAAAGCATGGTAGTGTGTTTCAGTGCTGCTTCTTCTACAAATTCTGCATCCACGTTGTCATGGCCCTCAAAATCACACAGAGCTGGCAGGAGAAAAAAAAAGAGAGTATGTATGTGATCACCATGGAGCCCATTATGAGCCCATTTGCTCATTATTATTTTATATTGTAGTAAAACATGTTTTTCTGAGAATACAGAGTATACTTCAGCACTAAGAAAGAGACTTCACATTAACCAAACATGCATTAAGTCTGCTCAACACTTTAAAACTTTAAAGCTAATTATTCCTTTGGTAACTTAAGAAGCTTATTGTAATTGGATTTTGTGTGTGTGTGTGCTGGTCCTGGGGCTTGAACTCAGGGCCTGGGCCCTGTCCCTAAGCTTTATTGTTCAAAGCTAGTACTCTTATCACTTGAGTCACCGCTCCACTTCCAGTTTTTTCATTGGAAATAAGAGCCTCATAGACTTTTTTGTTCAAGCTGACTTCAAACTACAATCCTCAGATCTCAGCCTCCTGAAAAACTAGTATTATTGGCAGGAACCACTGGCACCTGACTTATAATGGCTAATGAAAATCCATTTCAGTGAGGATCTGCTCATAAGTAAGGGGCATATGAAGAAGAAAACCAGAAACAGGGAAATGGGTCAAGGGGATAAAGAGGAAACCAAGCAGAGGAGTGAATTACCTTGATTGGAGGACTCTAGATGGGTCAGAATTTCAATGAAGTAGTTGAGAGGCAAAAATTCGACAGTGAATGATGACTTTTTGATCACAGAATTCTGAGCCTTAAAGGGAAACCATGTGTGCTATTAGTTGAGACTCTAGAACAAACCCAAATTTAAAGGAAGTGATAAGCAGTAGAATGTCTGTCCGTGTGGACACATTAGAATGGGCAGGTGGGAGCTGAGTCACCTGTTTCTTATAGTTCTGGAGCAGTCGCGTCACGTGGTTCCTCGAAATGATGTTGGAACTCACAGGATGATCCCAAAGTCGGCAGATCTTCTGACCAATAAGCTATTGTAAAAATTAAAACATGGGGGCTGGGAAGTGGTAGAGCACTTGCCTCGCATGAATGAGGCCCTGGGTTTGATTCCTCAGCACCACATAAGCTGAAAAAGCTGGAAGTGGTGCTGTGGCTCAAGTGGTAGAGCGCTAGCCTTGAGCTGAAGAGCTGAAGGACAGTGCCCAGGCACAGAGTTCAGGCCCCACGACGAACAAAAAAAAAAAAAGGTTAAAACATGTATTAGAGAAGATTGTTATCTCCCTGTTCATTAGGTAGCTCATCTCCATAGTTTCAAACCTCAGTCCAAAGTAGGTAGTTGTTGTAAAGACAGGCCCTTCATGACTAGTAGCTGGTGGGAAAAGTCCATGTTGCTGTGAAGGTGTGCTTCTGAATTCTGAGTAACTATTCTCAAATGTTGCTATGAAGAAAGCAGTTTATACACTGAGGCTGCCAGATTTTGCTGCTGCTACTACTCATCAAAGCTGGAGATGGGGATGCAAACCCTAAGTGACATGTTAACAAAAAAATCAGCCTTGCAGGCAGACTTATAGCAATTTCTCTGCCATAGTCTTGCCTATTCTTGGGGGAATTAAATTCCCCCAAGAGTCTGAGGCAATAAGTCAAAATTGGAGACTAAACCAAATGTTCTACAACATTCCCCCAGAGAGACAGCCTCAGAAAATAGTCTCTGTGTTCTTTGCTGAACTCAGGAAGCCTAGGATGGGGAGGACTGATACAAAGCAAGAACACTAGGTCCAGAAAGCCAATGGACATCCATTGGGGTGAAGAAAACTGAATGTCTCTACAGAAAGAGACCTGTGCCAGAGGTACAGTGTTCAAGGAAGGTAAACAAGACGGGGCAGTCTCCTGGGAGGAGGAAGTTTGCAAACTCCGAGGTTCAAAAGCCTGTGGGCTTTCATAGTCTTAATAGTATTTCTGACTCAGAGAGCTAACATCTCCCACAAAGAAAAAAAAGGAAACAAGGAGTGCCTTTATAACTTTTCCCATATGTTTCTCATTCTTCCTTTGACTAGGAATGTTTCCCTACAGGCAGAAATGTGGGCAGAGGAAATGTAGTTCCAGAACCTCCTGACCTCACCTGTATTTAAATTGCTTATCAGTTTAAATAGTGAAAGCACATGTTTCCCCTCTCCCTCCTCCTCAGACTCAAATGTAAATATTAGTGTGGTTTCCTGAGAGGAGAAAATGACTAGCTGTTCTCAGTGAGTAGGTCCAGTGGGGACAACCAGCGGAGGGGTGGGAGCAGATAGGGTTTCTTGGAAAAGGCTGAAAAAAAAAGAAAGAATGTTCCAAAAGCCAGTGAATGCTTTTCTTGAAAGAAGAAATTGGAAAAGGATGTGCCAAGGCTTAAGGGAAAATAAAATTCTGATTACCGGAGGAAGCCGCACAATAATGCCGAATTTTAGTTTTTCATTTTTCTCTGTGTTGTCCAGATCTATGAGAAAGTGAGAGATTGGCAAATAAGACAAAAAAAATCCAGTTATATCCCTCATCAAGTTTTTAATATTTGAGTAGTTTATCCTGATACTATGTATTCCAACTTTGCATTCTCAAGCTAATCTCAGAAGGCTAAATAGACATCTGACAAACTTAAAACAGAATATACTTTGAGGAATGGCAAATGCTTTAGTATATACTAGCACAACTCAGCTATTAAAATACCACACACTTTGATCGTTGAAGTGAGAGTGATTCCACTAGAGATCTTACTCAATGGTCAAATGCCCATAAACACTGCACCTCTCTCATTAGCTTTTCTTACATTTCAAGTCAAACTTAGAGATGACAGAGTTAATCAGATGAAAGTAAGCTATTTCATTATACTTTTATGGGCAATCAACTTAAGAGACTCCTAGCCTCAAGTGTCCTCTTATACAAATAAAAGCAACCTAAGAGCTGTCTGGGGCCTCTTGGAGAAAAAAGTCATTTCAAATAGACTCAAAGGATGCTTCCAGGAAATGGAATGTACTCAATAGGACCATTTGCATCATTGGTGGTACTTAGGGCAAAACGAAAATGAGGAGCTATGTGTCAAATATTAAGAATTTCAAGAGTTATTGCAGAGCAGTAGACCCCAAGCATGGGACCCTTCTGAGTTAGCCAGACCCTCTATGTGGCACACTCCAGGAAGTGAGCCCTGGGGTTGCCCAGGTTGGAATGTGCACTCTGTAGAGCCTCTGACCTTTCATGAGCCGTGTGACAGCTGTCTCGGTAAGCAGCAACACTCCATTATCAACGTAATGTAGTAGGTTATGCAAAGGGAGGCAGTTGACCCCAAGGATCATGTGCAGAGTGTGGAATCCTAGAGTGAGTGAACAAAGAATCAGCCAGTATTTCCAACCTTTCTAGTGGGACAGATTTGATCATGTTACTGAATGATGACTTAGTTGAGTTTAGTGCTGGGGCCTTCAGTCTACTAAATTCTTTAAAGAAAACGTTCACATTTCCTTCTTTGTATTATCACAACTAAATATCATATGGGAATAAAGTTCCAAGTATATATTTTTGCCTTTGGATCGATCCCTTCTTAGGCAAAATGAAGGCAAGGCTTACTCTATGAAAAAAAGAAAGATTTTACAGTTTAATATGTTTAGAATTCTATAGCAAAGACAGAAAAGAAAATGGAAAAGCTTCAGACTCTGTATGCCCAGGCTAAATGTCTGAGACAGGAACCAATTGTCCAGGAAAGTTGGAAAAGCAATTACCTTTAACCATGTACATGAGAAACAACATCCACTGAAAATTTCAGGGAACCAGCAGGGGCTCCCCCAAAAAGGAATGACAAGCTGCAACATAGTTTCTCAGTAAGGAGAAATCTGGGCAGCAGAAAGTAACCTCAGTTCCCATCTCTCAGTGACACCAGACACACAATGATTAGCACACAAGTCTCGTTGTGGAATTTGTAACATCTGGGAACCATGTGAACAGGAAAGAACATTGTCAAGACACCAAAGGACAAAGGAGCCAAGACTCACCAGGAGGCAGAGGTAAAAGCAAACTGCTGGTAGCTTCCAAAATCCTGGTCATGGTGTGAAAGACTGCAAACTCAGCAGCACTGTTAGGCCTTTTGCTGGGTAAAAGTAACAAATCAGCATGTCAGCCATGAAGCGCATTTCTGAAAGCCTGCGGGCTCCAGCCACCAAGGATTCACAATAGTCATGAAACTCTGTATCCCATGAAAAGACTCATGCAGGTGACACTGACCATCAGCCTAAACCCTAGAATTGATCCAGGGCAGTAAGCTCATGAATTATAAGTTGTGCCAGGCAGAATGGCACATATCTATAATTCTAGCACTCCTTACCTGGAGGCAGAAGGTTCACAAATTCAAAACCAGGCTAGGGGGCTGGAAAGGCAGCTCAGTGGTAGAGTGCTTACCTTGCATGCATGAGGCCCTGGGTTTGATTCCTCAGCACCACATAAGCAGAAAAAGCCAGAAGTGGCACTGTGGTTCTAGTGGTAGAGTGCTAACCTTGAGCTGAAGAGCTGAGGGACAGCGCCCAGGCCCAGAGTTCAAGCCCCATGACCAACAACAACAACAAAAAAAGACCAGGCTAGGCTACATAGTAAGATTCTATTGGTCAATCAATCAATGAATAGAATTATAATCAATCAATGAATAGAATTATAAGATGCATCAACTGAAATTCCCTTTCATGTAGTACCAGATTCATGTGTCCCCCCTCCTTTAAATTCTGGGTAAAAATAAATAAACTACAGTAGACATTGCTAGAGCTGGTGGTAAGTGCTTTGAAGCAGTAAATTTCAAAAGGACTTTGCATAAGCAGGCAGCTATCAGAGTTGTCAACTCTTCATCCGTCACAATGAAGGGGAGGGGAAGAAACTGGCATACCAGCGGAGAACCCAAGGGTTAAGCTTGTGTTTCCTCCAGGTGCTTTCCAGGATGCGGCAAATGAGATCCAGCTAGAGGATGAAGATAACCCGTTAGCCACACTCATCTTCTTTTCCACTTGGCCCTCCAGCTGTTCCTCTACAGCTTTGACCCACACAGTCGGGGCAGCTGGCTTTTGAACACACAACACACAATCAGCCTTTCAGAGGTCAATTCAGAGGCACTGACATCCAAATTGGGAAGACTGCAAATGTGACCCAGATTGTAACAGAGCCCCCTCTGTCTGTGTGGGCGATGCCCCGCTTGGCTTCCCCAACTAACTGGCCGCACCGTTCACATTTACAGTCCCTCTCCCGTCAAGGAAGGGCAAGTGCCACTGGTTTTACTCTAGGCCTGTGACACTGAAGGCCAGGAGCTGGTAGTAGAAGAAAGAAGACAGTGTGGCACAGAGGTGTTGAGCATGATCTGTGAGTACAAGCAGTACACACAAGACCTGGCTATGTAGTTGCCTTACCTAGGCAAGTCACCTCTCCTCCCAGATCTGTGTCCTCTTCTGACAATAATGGGGAAGTGCTCAGTGGGGCTGTTGTAAAAGTTAGATGGCCTGCTTCCTAAAAGCTGGTGCTCATTCAGTCAGAACCATATCGAGCAAGGTAGAGAGCCTCTGTGCCCTAGGCTTTATCCCAGAACCAATATAATTTTGCAAGAAGCCTATTAGCAGAAGGGCAGTCTCCACAGCACTATCCACCATGAATTGGTACATTGCACTTGTGGAGGGATCTACAGAGATGTGCAGCAAGCAAGCATTGTGCTCACTGATACAGTCTCAGTTTGTCTCTGGTTGGAATCAAGAAAATATGTAAACAATATAATCAAGTTCTGTGGCAACATCCTTGGCTACAGTGTAGGAAGACTGCAGCCATTTTCCTTAGAGGAGACATTGCTGGTTGCTGCCAGGCCAGGCAGAGACATTTGCCTGAGCTTCTGAGATAAAGGGTTAACACAAGCTAGTATCAAAATTTTAATGCACGTAAGAAGTGATGCTTGAATGAGAACCCTTCTTAAGACTTTGGAAAGCAAAATCTGAAGTCAACAAAAGGAAGATCTAATATTTTTACTTTTAGAAAGAGGCAGAAAAAGCTAGGCACTGGTGGCTCACATGTCTAATCCTAGCTACTCAGCAGGCTGAGATCTGAGAATCATGGCTAAAGCCAGTCCAGCAGGAAAATCCAAAAGACTCTTATCTCCAATTACAGTAATCACCAAGGGAGTGAGGGGAGTGAAGCTGTGGCTCAAGTGGTAGAGCACTAGTCGGGAGCTGAAAAAGCTCAGGGACAGCGCCCTGGATCTTAGTTTAAGTCTAGGACTGGCACAAAAAAAAAAAAAAGGCAGAAGACCAAGAAAGCAAGTGGGTCAACAAGGGGCAAATCATCCATGTGTTCCTAAAGTGAGCTCTTTGCTACAGTTCTACTGGCAAGAAGAAATGTTTCAGTGCCCTGATCATGAAACTCAGGATACAAAAATACCCAACTTCTCCTAATATAGTAGGAATTATGAAACTCGAATCTTCCAATAGAGATTCAAATGTTTTTAAAAACAGACATGAAGGACTACAATACAGGCTGAAATTTTTAAGCTTGAAAAAATTAAATCAGTCCTAGCAAATAAACTTAACTCATTTTCCAAAGGTCACCACACAAATATATGCTCAAATATATGGCTCATTTGCATACCAGTCTTACCCAAACTTGGAGAAATAAGGAAGCATTCTTTCTATTTCTGTTTAAATGTTTTAGTTCCAAATGTTCCAGCTCCAAAATAAGATCGCACCTCAACTCCATGCTTTTTAAAAGGCCTAAGACAACTTTAAAACTCAACTTCATTACATCATTTCTTAAAAATTTGCCTGTGAACTGGTGTGAATCTAATTTGTACCATACAATTTCTTCTTTTCTTTTTCTTTTTTTTTTTGTGGTGCTACCAGGATTTGAATACAGACCTTTACACTTGCTACACATTGCTATCATTTGAACCACCCCTATTTTTAAGATAAGATCTTGTGTTTTTGCTCAGGCAAGCATCAGATTTTGAGCCTCCTACCTACAGCTCCTGAGTAGATGGGATTTTACTTCTACCACCATACCCACCTTGTTTGTTTAGATGGTCTCACTAACTTTTTGTCTGGAATGATCTCAAACAAGTTGGACTTACAGGCATGAGCTCCCATGCCCAGTTCTGTATCACACAACTTTAATACCTGGCTACCAGTATATCAGCAGATTCCAATGTGGTAATATTTATACAACAAGCTGGATTCTGGCCTAATGGACTGTTGGCACTAGTTAAGAATTGTGGTTCAAGTTCTCTCATGTATTCATAGACTTCCAGGTAAAGAATCATGCCTACTGTTTCATAAGGTGATTTGGCAACCATCCTCAATTTATTGCTCTATGCCCCCACGAGTTTGAGGGAGGGCAATCAACAAGTTCTCTTTGTTCATTGTTCTCATTTCCCTTCCCTCAATCTGTAGTGCCGAATCTACTGATTGGAAGCTGGGAGATCTTTTCGAACCTAATTTGAGAAACATACAAATGGCTCCCTGACCTACATTCTGAGGGTTATACCCAGGATAGGGAGTCAGGTGGGGACAAGGAGAAAAAGCAAAACCAACCAGTTTGGAAACATAGTCCAGAGCCAACTGTTCAATGTTCTTCCTTTCTACTCCCTGTAGGTGTCTCAAAAGATGGTCTTTCAGCTCGGACACCATCTGAAAACAGGATATATGTTAGATAAGTCATAATCGACCCATTCATACCTGTAACAGGTCGGACTGACCACCATTTATTTGGGGTGCTTTATCTTTTGCTCTGGTATGTAAACCCATTCTAAAGTTGTTTTTTGGTTTTTGGGGGGGGTTTTTTGGGGGGGTCCGGTCATGGGGCCTGAACTCTGGGCCTGGGCGCTGTCCCTCAGCTCTTCAGCTCAAGGTGAGTGCTCTACCACTTGAGCCACAGCGCCACTTCCGGCTTTTTTGCTTATGTGGTGCTAAGGAATCGAACCCAGGGCCTCAGGCATGCAAGGCAAGCGCTCTACCACTGAGCCACCTTCCCAGCCCCCCCCCCATTCTAAAGTTTTATAACCTTTTCTTCATGTATTATTTTTCCTATGGTAGTGTCTTTATCACACTGTTTTCAATGGTTGTATAGTATGTTATGAAAGTTCTAGTATTGATTTATTCCTTTCTTGTGAGACATATTTTTACTATTGTTAATACCACCACCACAGGAATAAATTCTAGAAAATAATTTGCTATATCCCCAATTCAGTTCCTAGAAATGCAATTTGCTGGATTGAGGACTTAAGACTTCTAAGCTACTACCATAGTGCCTCTTAGGCCCACTATGCTGTGCACAGCACCTTTCAGGGGACTAGCCAGACCCTACACCTCTCTCTTTGCTAGTATAAATTTTAAATGTATGCCATTTTGATAGTCAGCCAACAAAAACAAAGAAACCCATTTGTGCTATTTGTCATAGGATTGCTAATGCCAACCATTTTCTATGTCCTCCCCAATCTAGACATTTTGGCCATTTACTTTGGAAAATTGATCCACTACTTCCCTTAGAATGGCATACCATTTTGTTAATGATTTATCAACTTCATTTGCCAAAGGCAATCATTTATCACATTTGTTACATATCGTTTTCCAAATTTCTTACTTAGCTTTATGATTGTTGTTTGTTGTTTAGGATTTTAGTCACTCAAGTCTGTTTTTCTTATCTATGTTCCATAATATTTTAATAGCTTTCTCTATTTCAGTATTGTTTCTCTCCTTATTTAATTCACATTCTTTTATATGGTTTAATTTCTTGTAATAAATTCCTTTAAATAGTTGAAATTTTTGCTTATTTGTAGCATAAATGGTGGTATGCTTTAGGTAGGAAAAAACTAATTTGCTTGGAATTTTTTTCCAAATACTTAATCATTAATTCTTTATTTAAAATTTCCACATTGGTTTTAAGTATTTTATTGATTACACACTAAAGATTCAAACTAAAATTAGTATCTCTGATTATATGCTTCTGTGTACACATCATTTATGTGATTATGTATTTGTTGGTACGATTAATTAATCTTTACTCCCAAGAGGGCAGTAATTGCAGCTGCCAGTGGCTCATGCCTATAATAATAGCTTGTTAAGAGGCTGAGATCTTGGATCAAGGTTCAAAGTCATCACAGGCAGAAAAGTGGATGAACTTTTACCTCCAATTAACTAGGAGAATGCACGGGAGGTGTGGTTCAAGTAGTAGAGCTCTAGTTATGAGGGACAAAAAAGCAAAGTGAAAACACAAGGCCTTGAGTTCAAACCTTGATACTAGCACAAAAAAGGGGTGGGGATGGGGTGCAGAAATCATGTATGTATGGTTTATCACTAGACCTATAGGAACTACAGAGCTGGCAACTATTATTTGTTCAAATAAGCAGAAAATATGATCAGGAAGAGAGGTAATAACTAGCCATTCCTTCTTCTACTTGGGGCCTGCTGTTTGCCACACCTGGAAACCACTTACCAGCCCGATGAGCAGCCGCTGGTGGTGGTCATCCTCCTGCAAGAGCGGCATTAATCTTGGCTCTGGAGAGAGCAAGGATACCATAACTTTCAGGAAATAGCAGGTAAGAAGGAAGAATCCACCTGAAGTTTCCTTCTCTAAATTATGGGGGAAAGTAACATTTCCATAATGAGGTGAAAAATGTGTCAGTGTGGCCTGGTCTAACAAGGCAAGCTTGTCCCTTGGGTGATGCGCAGGGCTCTATAAAACAGAGCAAAATCAAGGGGCACCTTCCTAATGCCTCTGCGTTCTCTCTGGGACTTCTCTTCCACCAGAGAACCTGTGGTCATCCAGGAAGCTCTGCTGCCCTAGGGACAGTGACACAGGCCTCTCTTAACCTCAAGGAGGCGCACAGCCTGAGGGCTGGTGGGGCTCAGTGGGCTGCCTGGCCCTCTTACTTCCTGGCCCCTTATTGGGTGACTGTGGGGGTTACTGAGCCTAGGAGTCAGTCAACTACCGTGACGCACAATCCTAATGGACACAAGTTATCTGACTGATAATGTCGCTAGGTCAATCAAACAGGCCCCTTCTTCACCATGACTGGCCCTGCCAAGACTAGAGAGCCCTACCCTCTCACTTGGCTCTCCCCACCCCCAGGCCCAGGGCCAGGACCAGAGGGCAGAATAATTGCCCTGTCCAGCTGGCTGATGACTCTTCTGGGAGACACGGCCCTTGGCTCCTGAGAAGAAGTCCTACCCTCCAATCCTACTTAGCTCTCAGGACTGAGAGGGAATTGTAAACCATGAGCCCAACATCCCTGAGTCTCCCAGGACTCTGTGTCTCAGACAGTATTCCTCACAGGAAGCAGGTCCAGTCAAAGCATGTGACAGGATGGGGAAGTGTCCTGAAGGATCCTAAGAAGCACTGACAGACAACAGCACACAAACAGGGGCAGGGCCACAGGACAAGCTCTATAAGCAGGGGAGGAGGGACAGGCAGGATCAGAACCCCAAGACAGCAGCAGCATCTTCCACATTGTACCTCAGCAATGCAACAAGGATCACTCTGAATCTACCACATTCACACCCTGACTGCCAGGGCAGGGTACCTGGCTTCAGGCACAAATGGCCTGGCTATATCAGAAGAGGCTGCTGCCCTGGGGACAAGCTCACTGGCACGATTGATTCACTGGGCTGTGCACAGCGACCAGGTGTTAAATTACACAGGCTCTAAATTAATTTCTGTGTAGGTCCTCCAATAGAGATCTAAACATTCCAGGACATAAAACAGGAAGGGACATCAAAGCTTCTTTAATGAAGGCTGGCTTTCATGAGGCCTGTAGGTGTTCCTCCGGTCCCCAGCAAAAGGGTGTGTGCCTAGTTATTCTCAACTGCCCCCTCCCCCAGATCCCCCAGGCTAAGTTCCTCCAGTTAATAATATCTCCAGGCTGGGCTGGGAAGGTGGCTCAGTGGTAGAGCGCTTGCCTTGCATGCATGAGGCCCTGGGTTCGATTCCTCAACACCACATAAACAGAAAAAAAAAAAAAAAGCCAGAAGTGGCACTGTGGCTCAAGTGGTAGCGTGCTAGCCTTGAGCTGAAGAGCTGAGGGACAGCGCCCAGGCCCAGAGTTCAGGCTCCATGACCAGACCCAAAAATAAATAAATAAATAAAATAATATCTCCAGGCAAGCAGGCTCTTGCCTGAAATCCTAGCTATTTAGGAGGCTGAGAAAACTGAGGGTCTCAGTTCAAAGCCAGTCTTGACAGAAAAGCCCATGAAACTCTTTTATCTCCAATTGACCACCAAAAAGCCAGAAATGGAGCTGTGGTTCAAGTGGTGGATCACCGCCTTAGTGGGAAAATGCCAAACAAGAGTGTGAGACCTGAGTTCAAGCCCCAGTACAGCGCTCTCTCTCTCTCTTGCTCTCTCTCTCTCTCTCTCTCTCTCTCTCTCTCACACACACACACACACACACACACACACACACACACACACACACACCCATTTATCACCTGCAAGAACCTCCTCCAGCCTCTTTCGCCCACCACTCGGTTTAGAAACAGCAGCATTACTACATCCTCCTCACAAGGGCAAATTGCCGCCTCCTATTCCCGCAGGCACTGGGGGCACTGTGCTAGGTGTGACCCACATGAACCCATCGCCCCTCACTCTACCCCTGAGGAAGACACACAAAAGGCACAAAAGGGCCAACAGGAAGCAGAGGAGCACAGTTAGCATGTGACAGCTCCAAAATTTAAGTCTAGTTCTCTCTCTGGCTCCAGAGCCCAGTCTCCTCCCCTGGACTAAAACCTTGCCCAGTACACACCCAACTTTTAGGCAAAATGCAAGGCACATACAAATGCAAGGCCCTGTGTGATCACACAGCTAGAGGGAAAGTAGTCCAGACCAAGAGGACTGACTGCCCAAGTGCATGCTGTGAGCACCGCCAGAGGGCGTGTTGATTAGAGCTACTGTGAAAGGAGAAATGAGAAAAGCCGAGGGCAAGCTCCCAGTGACTCCTCCAGCAAAAGCACACTCAGCAGCTGATCCTGAAGGCCCTGGAACCAACACAGCTGTAGCAATGGCGATATGGCCACTAAGGATGTCACTTTAAAGGGCATTGCCTTGGTTACCCTACCGGAAGTAATTTCTTTGCCAACCAATGGTAGGAAAAACAGTGCTAAGAACAAAAGACTAACATCCAGAAAGCTTTCCTACAGGTCTTTTCTTTTTTTTTTTTTTTCAAGAGGCAATGACCTGCAGGTCTTTATTCTAGAATACGAAGCCTACAGGTCTTTTCTTACCTGAATTCCTTGCTTCTATGTTAGAAATCACCCTACAAAGAAATTAGTCATGTTATTCACACAGGAAGCATTAAAAAAAAAAAAAAGATTAAGCCACAACACTATACCTTCTCTAAAAACCCATCAAAGTACAGAAACTCTTCTCAGGCTACTGGAAACCTCAAAAAAAAAAAAACTTAAGTGATGTACAAAAGGCCACATTAAGCAATTATACATCTCAAAGCCTGTTAGTGCCATCAAAGGCAATAATTTAGAACAATTGCAGCTCTCAGTTATTGCGACTAATAAAGACAAAAAATAGAACAGAGGTTGGCATTAGGCCTATACTTTGAGCACTCTAAGATGACTCATGTATCCAGAAAATACACTTTCAAAATAAAAGCAAGCTCCCCAGCACACGAACAGGGTTGGACTTTGTTGTCTGTTTCTTTGTGCTGGTCCTAGGAATTGAACTCAAGGCCTGGGTGCTGCCCTTGAGATGTTTTGCTCAAGGGTAGCTCTCTACCACTACAGCCACAGCTCCATGTCTGACTTTTTGATCATTAATTGGAGATAAGAGTCTCAAAGGCTTTCCTATCTGGGATAGCTTCAATTTGAGATCCACATATCTCAGCCTCCTGAATAGCTACAATTACAGGTGTGAGCCAGTGGGGGCTGGTAGTTTTTGTTTGTTTTAAGAATTTACATCTGGGGCTGGGAAGGTGGCTCAATGGTAGAGCGCTTGCCTTGCATGCATGAGGCTCTGGGTTTGATTCCTCAGTACCACATAAGCAGAAAAAGTCAGAAGTGGCTCTGTGGCTCTGTGGCTCAAGTGGTAGAGTGCTAGCCTAGAGCTGAAGAGCAGAGGGACAGTGCCCAGGCCCAGAGTTCAGGCCCCATGACCGGACCCCCCCCCAAAAAAATAATTTAAATCAACCTACTATCTACCTTTGTTCTCAAAAGTACTTTTATAACAAGAATCTCCTTCCCATTTACACACTATAAAACATCTATCCTAGTGTGCAAATATAGAAGGCATAACCTATAAGTTCTTCCCCTAGAAACTCTAACACCAAAAACAGAATAGGGCCCAAGTGGTTGTGTGCATGAAGGTGATAGCATCATTTTGCTGAGGACACATAACAAAAGTAAGCTACTTCCAAAATGGTAACCACCAAGGTTAATAAAAGATAATTGTCTTACAGAAATGAGAACCTTAAATTTTACTTACTTTAGAGCATTATCAAGAATATTCCTCACATATGCTGTGGCCCTTCTTTTTCCTGTTTTCTGGAAGTGAGAATATGTCAAGAACATGAGAAGTGAAGGTTCTTTGGGATGGCACTTCCTTTACATCAAAAACATAGCACATACAGCTAAGAGTTTTAGAGAGAAGAAACAAACTTCTGTAGATCATGAAAAAAAACTATTAAAAAACTTTAAACGTTTTATTCTGAAGCAACAGAATTCCTGGAAGTTTCAAATCAACTATATATAGCAGTACTACAAAGGGACTCATATTCTCATCTGGTCTCTCCTTACGTTCCTTACCTGACTACACTGTCAAAATCAGGAAATCAGCATTGGTACTTGTTTTCCTATAGCTTGACATCATTATCTCACACGTGTAGAGTCACATTCCACAACGTACCACCGCAGTCAAACGAGGGACTCTTCCATCACCCCAAAACCTCCCCCTGTGGAGTAGGGCCTAACATTCTCACTTGGTTTTATAGCAGGTGTTCTACCATTTGAGTCCCACCTCCAATCCAGTATTTTGCTGGTTAATTAGAGAATGGAGTCTCTCAGACTTTTCTTCCCAGGATGGCTTTGAACTGAGCTCCTCAGTTCTTATCTTCTAAATAGCTAGAATTACAGCATGAGCCAGTGATGACTGGCTAGAATACCTAGATTTTCCAAAATTAATATTTAGCTATACAAGTTGGAGATTTAGGCATTAATTGCATTTCCCTACAAAGGTGCTGTGCTGTGTTTGATTTGCCCTTCAGTCTTATCATCAGAGAACAAAGATGGTTGCCTATCCATTGGGAGATCGGCAAAGTTCATTCAGGATGACCACTGCCTGGCACAGCACCCATGGTGGCCCTGCTGGCTGCTTTGATCTCCCTGACCCATAAGTACCTCTTCAGAGATCAGGTTGTGCCACTCTCTCCCGACCACGCTGTTGTGATAGTGTAAGCGTGGCTTGGTGTACTTGACATACTGGAGGTTGGTGTTCAGTCTTTCCCAGTAGCCCTTAAAGCTATGGACCTGCAAGAAACAGAAACAGCAGGCCTGAGCAGCCGGCCCAGGACTCATAGCCCAGTAAGGATCCCCCAAACCCCACTGCCCCAGTTCTCAGGGGATAGCGTCTCCCCAGGAAACCCTCCCACAAGGTGACTGGTTCCACAGGAATTCTAAATAGAAAGTCTAAGAGAGTCTGGCCTCCCTACTTCATTTCTTTCCACATTTATAACAGAGAGAGCTGCTACTCATTTCCCAAACCAACAGGACTTCCCTGGGTTGGGCTCAGAGGGGAAGCCTGTATTAAACACATCAAGCCATTTCCTCCCTAGAGGGCCATTTTCCGAGTTCAGTGATGTCAACAACGCTGAGTTCAGCCAGAAAATGTTCCTACCATTTGGAGTAAAGAAAGAAGGCTTCTTTTCCTGTGACACTTATTTATATCCAAGAACATGTTTCAAAACCCAGTAATCAAGAAAAGGACGGAAATGATTTTATATTGCCACTGTTGTCCAACTATCTTATACTAGATCTTTAAATTTTTATTATTTATTTTTAATTTTTTTGGGGTGCCAGTTCTAGGGCTTAAACTCCAGACAGAGGAGCTATCCTTGAGCTTTTGTGCTCAAGACTAGCTCACTATCATTTGAACTACAGCTCCACTTCTGGATTTTTTTGCTAGTTAATTGGAGACAGGAGTCTTACTGTACTTTCCTTTCTGGGCTGGCTTCAAACCCTGATCCTCAGATGTCAGCCTCCTGAGAAGGATCTTTGAATTACTAATATTTACAGCTTGGAGCATGACTATATTTATTTTTAGTAATAAAATGTAATGCTGACACTGTTTAATGTTGAAAGACATACTGGCATTTTGTGTGTGTGTGTGTGTGTGTGTGTGTGTGTGCGCGCGCACGCGCGCACATGTGTGCATGTGTGTGCATGTGAGCACTGCTTCTGGGGCTTAAACTCAGGGCCTGAATGCTGTTTCTTAGCTTTTTCATTCAAGGCTGGTGCTGTGCTACTTGAGTCATACTTCCACTTCCAACTTTTTGGTGGCTAATTGGAGATAAGATCTCACAGACATTCATGTCCAGTCTAGGTTCAAACCATGACCTTCAGATCTTAGCCTCTTGAGTATTTCGAATTTTGGGTGTAAGCACATGGCATAAACTGTTTTTTGCAACCAAGATAAATGGATTTATGATACATTCTTTTTTTGGATTTATGATACATTATTACTAAAATATGTACATGTATTAAAGATTTGATGGGGCCAGCTAGGCAATGAGTGGCCCTAAAACAAAGTGAGCTGGGGCTAGGAAGGTGGCTCAGTGGTAGAGCGCTTGCCTTGCATGCCTGAGGCCCTGGGTTCGATTCCTCAGCACCACATAAGCAAAAAAAAAAAGAAGCTGGAAGTGGTGCTGTGGCTCAAGTGGTAGAGTGCTAGCCTTGAGCTGAAGAGCTGAAGGACAGTGCCCAGGCCCAGAGTTCAGGCCCCACGACTGGATCCAAAAAAAAAAAACCAAAAAACAAAGTGAGCTATTGTATACTATAGTAACCAACTTGGCTGAAGTCCAAGAAAATGAGAGAATGTAAATAAAATATACTTCAACCATGGAAAATGCTCTAATGATAAACAATAGCATGTCACCCAAACTTCTATTGAAAGCACAAAGTTAATTGGAAGTAGATTTTAGAGTCATCATTACAATGAGTTGCATAATGTTTTACAATATTATCATTGGAAGTGACACTGTGGCTCAAATGATAGAGCGCTGGCCTTGAGCTGAAGAGTGCAAGGACAGCGTTCAGGCCCAGAGTTCAAGCCCCACGACTGACAAAAAAATAAAAATAAAATAAAATATTATCATATTCCAAAGCTTTTGCCTTGGAAGCCTACAATGCCTTCTATCAGAGCCAGAAAAAAGAAAATTTCATCAATGTACCAAAAGCCACATTTGACAATTATAAAATCTCAAAAACTAAGGAAGTATTAGTAGGGAAATGGGAACACTGGAGTCGAATCTGACCCTTTTTTCTTTTGATTGAGCCAAAAAGATGGTTCCTCCTATTTTTGTTATTTAGAAATAAATGTACCTTTCCACTATCCCTTGTTTCTTATTTCTATTGAAAGAAAATACATCAGACACACCTTCCAGGCATTTACAGGACTAACTCATTATAATGACTGACTGGAAGTCATTATAGCCTGTCTGGACTCAGGATCACTACAGGCAAAGCAAGAAACTAGTTGGTTTTGTGGCGGGTGTCATCTAGTGGTCAATTAGGCTATTGCACTTGCTTTTTTGCCACCACAGTCCCAAGATAGGGTTTACCGGATCTTGCCCAGGACAGGATGAGGGAGGACAGAAGTCATGTTCCACCTACCTGTTGGCTGGCTTTGTCCCTTCAAATGATGCCCTGATACTGAAAGATCCTGCTCCCAATGTAGCTTCTAAGAAAAATCCTGCCCAAATTACCTATTTTCTCCTCCTTCATTTTTAAATTTTTTCGTTCTTCCTAACCTTATAACAGCAAGATTAACAAATAAAACAAAATCTTGCCAGGTCCATGGAAAAACTCCAGAAAAGCTGGAACCTCTACTGGCTGTGGGTAAAAACTATTTATAAAGCACTTTTCTCTAAAGAGTTTATCTCTTGCACCAAATTTTGAAAGGAATCAATTGCCTGAAATTACTTAAAACCACTGAATAAAAAGAAAATAGTTGAATTTAAAATACTAAAAACTAGCCAGGCACCAGTGACTCCTGCCTGTAGTCCTAGCTACTCAGGAGGCTGAGATCAGAGGATCACGGTTCAAACCAGCCCAGGCAAGAAAATCTATGAGATTCTTCTCTGTTCTATTCTAGCTCACTCTGTTCTATTCTAGCTCTCTCTCTGTTCGTTTCTAGCTCTCTGCTCTCTCTGTTCATTTCTAGCTCTCTCTCTCTCTCTCTGTTCTATTCTAGCTCTCCCTCTGTTCTTAGCTCTCTGCTCTCTCTGTTCGTTTCTAGCTCTCTCTCTCTGTTCTATTCTAGCTCTCTCTCTGTGTTCTTACCCCTCTCTCTCTGTTCTTTTCTAGCTCTCTCTGCTCTCTCTCTGTTCTCTCTCTGCTCTAGCTCTTTCCTCTCTTTTCCAGCTCTCTCTCATTCCCAGCCACGTGGATTGCCAACCTTGCCTAGTCCCATCAGGTCTACTGAATAAACCTACCCCTTACCTGAAAAAAAAAAAAAGAAAATCTATGAGATTCTTAATTTCAATTAACTACCAAAAAGCTGGAAATGGAGTTTTAGCTCAAAGTGATAGAGCCCTAGTCTTGAGCACAAAATCTCAGAGATAGCACCCAGGCCCTGAATTCAAGCTCCAGGACTGGCACAAACAAACAAACAAACAAAAAAATACTAAAACTAAGCAGGACACTGGTGGTTCATGCCTGTAATCCTAGCTACTCAGGAGGCTGAGACCTGAGGATCACAGTTCAAAGCCAGCCTGGGGAAGGAAAGTCCGTGAGACTCTTATCTCCAATAAACCACTAGAAAACCGGAAGTGGTGCTGTAGCTCAAGTGGTAAAGCGCTAGCCTTGAGCTGAAGAGCTGAGGGACAGAGCTGAGGCCCCGAGTTCAAACCCCATGACCTACAAAAAAAAATACTAAAACGAAAACGTTTATTCAAGAAATGTTAACCAAAAGTCCTAGAAATAGTCTGTCATGGGATGATATTGTTCAAGGTACACAGCACCCCATGAACTGACATGTTGAATTAAAACCCCTTAGTACAACTTGTTAAAGACAATTTTTTAAATTTCATAAGTAATAATCTCCCATGAACTTATAGATCTTTTAGGGAAATGAGGGGTTGATTTTCATCTCTAGTTTACAGATATTTAGAGAGTAGAGGGAAAAAAAACTAGTACATATGTCACTTTTTAGTATCAACCAGACATGCTGTGGTTTTTAAAAAAATTATTTAAGTTCAGAGATCACTGTAAATTGAAAGATGTATTTGGAAATCTGGGAAACAGATACAGCCTAGGGATTGGAAATCAATCTGAGAATAAGGAGAGTTGCTCCAAGCCAAAGACTGGGAAACCAAAATGTGGATCATGGTTAGATCAGAAGCAAAGTATTAGAGAGAGCAAAGCAGACAATCAGCAGCACATTATTCCCTGAGGTGAAGATGGCAGCCTCTGATGTGAGACTTCCAGCTTTGGCTGCTCTTAAAACCATCTGCATCCCATTGGCCAGAGATTTCATTGGTTTTGGGGGTATGGCGGAATCTTATGAGTACTCCAAGTTCCCAAGATGATCCAGGGCTGAGAGCATTGCTCCAATATATCCAAGAAAGCCCAGCCCCCTTCCCTTCTCAAACACTGAACTCCCTCCCTCCCTCCCTGGCTAAAGGTGATAAATGAGCAGTTGGCTGAAGAATCATGGTTCTGCCTGGCTACTTTTAGTATTTTAAATTCAAACCCTTTCTTTTTACTCGGTGGTTTTAAGTGCTTTTTAGACAACAGATTCCTTTCAAAAATCTGGTGTTAGAGCTCTGTCTTACAGGGAGGGACCCCGAGTGCCATTTCACACCAGCATACTCGCTGATCTAGAGAACAAAAGTAGTGGCAACATTAAATGTTAGATGTTGGTGTTAGATGTTAGACGGAAAGAATCTGTTCCACTTGCCAGCTTAGCCCAACATCTTGCCGTTATGCTCAGGGATGGACTACAAGGACAGAAAGCCACTGTTAGCTATCAAATATTAGAGTAACCAGGCACCAGTATGCTGTACCCATCAACAAGAAGATGCCTAGCCAGAGTCCCATCACCCACGACTTGAAAAGCCTGCAGAATGCTTTAATGCTCACAGTAGGATATCTCCATTAATGATTTAATTGTTTCTGTATTTTTCTGGGGGTGCTGACTTTTCTGCATTAATAGGTATTATTGTTCTTAAGAGAATCTAAATATTATTGAAAAAATGTTTCCTAAAAAAGATAGCTATGATTTTAGCTTCTCCTGCAAGACACTGGTATTA